CTGGGATCTGTGTGCTCCCCCTATCTACCAGGATGTAGTCGAGGATCGAGTATTCATTGCAAACTGCCCGTTGCCTGGTAAACTCCGGCTTATCGCATTCCCTCCTACCGTTCAACACTCCGTTGTCATTCACTTTTGTCTTCTCCGTACTTCCCGATCGCCTGTCCTCTGCTGGAAGCTTTCCCTACTCTGGAGTTGAAATCGCCCACCATGACAACTTCTCCGTTCCTACTGAACCTCTGGACATCTTCCCCATCTTAGTCCTACTGCGCCTTGCTTGCGACTTTCTTCGATGACGGTGGGACGTATTCGTTCCCTAGAAACAAATCTTTCCCACCCCGCTCCCCATGTATCTTAAGCCACAGGCTTTCCTCGAACTCTGTCTTCACCACTACTTCCACCACGTCAAACAAGTGTTCCTTGACCGGGAATCCGACTCCCGACTCCCCCCTCTCCCCTTTTCTTCGGGTCTAAGCCCTTTCTTGCCTTCCCTACCCACCGGTATTTCCCTAGTGTGCTTACCACGTCCCCGTCTTTCAATTCCCACGTCTCTTGGATCCCCACTACATCTAGATCGCTCTGTTCTACTTGGTCCGCTATTTCCAACCGCTTGCGCTCACTCCTTGCGAACCCGCACGTGTTCCACGACACGACTCTCAGCTTTTGCTTTTCCCTATTGGAGATTTTGCGCACTCTATCGTTCGCCTTCCGTTTCTTCTCGGCGTTCTTCTGACTTGCCTGCTCGCCTCCCCCTCTCGGTTCCTTCTTCGCCTCCGTCGCCCTCGCCTCTTGTCTCCTTACCTTGTCTGTTTCTATCATGTTCGCGATGCAAACCCTCCATCCAAACTTCCCTACGTAGTTCGACAGCTTCTCGATATCAACCCTGAAGCNAACAACCGCAGTAGGGGGGAGTGGCGAAACACGGAGGGCTGTGAACGAACGGGACACCGAATCACTGGCATAGCACAAACCATTTATGAACAACACTCTCGTTCAGTGTTTTTCTTTCGATTCATGTATCCCACATTTTTCTCCCTTGCCGTGTGCCTGCAACACCTCACCCAACCCCGCCGTCCAAACGCCTACTTGCTATTTTTGCAGACGCCGAGGAGGGTAGGGGTGGGGACCGTGATGCCGACAACGGCGGCGGCGGTTACGACGACGACTGGGAAGACCAGAACATGGACGGACAGGAGTACGGCTTCGTCATGTTTGACCCCGTTTGGGGGAAGCCGGACTACCCTCCCGGGCAACACACCACCAAGTGCCAGGTGTGTTTTCACAGTCTTGCCTCGTTTCGTTTATGTGGCAGCTGAACGTGGGGGCTCTGTTGTTCAAGCGTGGTGGCCGTGGGTATGCATTCATCCTTGAATGTTCGTCGACCTTGGAATACGGTGGTGCTGAGTGCATCATCCTCTCGGTGTTTTCGCGTTGGTGCAAAGGACACAGTCAGGTGGAGTTGGATGTGATTTGACGTCGTACGCTTGCTATCTGCCTTCGCTTCCGACCGGTGTCGTCGTCGTCGTCGTCGTCGTCGTCGTCGTCGTCGTCGTCGTCGTCGTTGTTGTTGTTACCCGCCGAACACCTTGTCATCGGCACGCCACTTGCCTGTACACACCTTCATTCCACTCCCGCGCTGCAACGTTGCAGCTCTGCGGCGTGTTGTGCTGTCCGTGCCTCATGGGGAGAGACGGCTGGCGGGGGTCGCGCAACCGCAACGTGTGGAGAAGGATTCGCAAGCGTGCGGCTATCATTACGTCCGGTGTCGACATCGTAGCCTTCGTACTGTCCATCATCATCAACGGGGGTTTCCAGGTAAGTTTTTTTTTTTTTCATCTCACCACGGGATGAGGTGCACGTTGGAGTCGGTAGCGCTGTTCGTGTTTTGGAGTTTTTTTTTTTTTTGTCTTCACTTCATCAAATCAGCGCTCACGGCACTGGTGCCGTGTACTCCAACCCGTGGTCACACAGAAGAGCCCCTCTCTACCCCCCCCCTCCTGCGGTACTTTGCCTTCGATTTTAATGCGAGAAGAGTTCAGCACTCTATTCACTCTGTGTACACACGAAGTAGCGCTATCCACTAGGCCAGGAGCGGAAGCGAGAGAAAAACTCACTTTGCAAGAAAAGCTTGCTTACGCCGGGATTCGAACCCCTGACCTGACCTCTAGAAGGCTTCGAGGA